TGTGTATTGACTGACGTATCTTTATAAAATAAATAATTTAATAAATACGTATAACATATCTTTTTTAAAATATATGTCAATACGTGTTTTTCTTAACACATAGTTTAACAGTTTAACTATAAGTATATACAGGATGTGTCTCACAACCACACCGTACACTACAAAAATGTCGAAGCTATAGTAGTTTTTGAATTATAATTAATCAAAGATAGTTCGTAATTAAAAAAATTTAGCCTCGATATTTTCGTATTAGGATTTTTGTCTTAGAATTCCAAAAAATCTAGTCATGATATAGTAGAAATAAAAATAAAATAGTTCTTGACTTAATAAGCAGTTAAAGTTAGCTTATAATTCAAAAAATTATTGTAGCCTCAACATTTTTATATTAGGATTTTTACTCTATTTTATCTCTAGAATATATTGTGAAATGTACTATACGGTAAGACATCCTATATATACAAATAATTAACTATTAGAGAATAAAAAATTATAACCATTTATATAAAGCCAGATTAAATTGATTACCAAATCAAGTTACAAAAAAAAGAACAAAATCATGAAAATAAATTATGTACCAGATATACAGCATATTATCAGGGGAGGCCCAGTGATGATCTATAAATGCGTTGATTCAGCTTGCCCATTATTCTTAGTATCTAGATATTTGTCTGCAAGAAAGATGTTTGTATGTTATATAAAAATAACTACATGCACATTCCAGACTAAACCATGTGATTATATCACGCATATTGTTTACGATAAATATAGTCCATTTCTGAAAAATATTTCAATAACAAAAATAATAAACCATTAATTATTTATATAAATCCAGTATTAAAATATTAAAGTATTAAAATATAAATGCATTGCACAATTTGTAACGTATTAAAAAAATTCCAACATATATATAACATATTTTTAGATTTAGTACAAAAAATTTTTATATAAAATGTAGTTTTGTTATTTAGAAAACGTTATGTAATTACTCATAATTTGTCCTAATAAATTTAAAGAAATACAGGACATAAAGCTTTTATGCCTATAATAATGTATGTGAAATGTTTCCATTAGAGTCCCATACACACACACACACACACACACGCACGCACGCACGCACGCACGCACGCACGCACGCACGCACGCACGCACGCACGCACGCACGCACGCACGCACGCACGCACGCACGCACGCACGCACACACACACACACACCATATATACCATATATAAGATTATAAAAGTAAGTACAAGTTCAATATATTTTAAGATAGAATAATCCCAAAACATATAAATATTAATTATGAAAAGATTACTATCATAATTATGGGATTGTAAGTTTTGTTATAGATAATAATGAATAAGTGTATCAATTCAATTATGAAAAATTGTATATATAAAAAATTAAAAATGTATATAAAAAATTAATAATAGAGGATAAGAAAATAAGTGTTTATCAATTCGTAAGATATATCAACAGTGTATACATACATTTAAATTATTTGCAGATTAAGAGATTTGTTATTAAAATTATTATATTAATATTAATTTTCGATTAATTCGCACATTCCTTAACACGTTAAGCACCATTTTTTAATAGAGTAATATTATACAAAAGAAATAGCAAAATTAATGACAAAATTAATATGATTAAATTATTTGCTTTTAAAGACACATAAGTGTTCTGCTCTATATTAAGAAATTTATCATAAATATATGTGGACATTATATTTTTTGTAATATATACTTTGGTGGAACATAAAATAAAAATTCAGAATTATAAAAACCGTTCAAGCTATCGCATATAAAACAATTGATTATAATAAAAACATAAATGTAAAAAATCCTAAATTTTAACAAGTTAAGCGCCACGGTTAAAAATACATAAAATTTTTCAAAAATTTGGAGAGTAATGTTTATAAACTTTATAGTAAAAAAATTGCAATTATAATTAAAAATAATTATATAAATTTAATAAATTTGAAGAAATCTAAATATTTTTTTCAATGTTCTCATTTAAAAACTACTAATTTTATTAATAAAAAATTAATTTAATAAAAATAAATAAAATGTGTATAAATAAAAATAAATATTTGTTCAACTATTTCTACAATTTTATAAAATATTTCATATTTTATTTCATTGTTTTATTTTACACTTTATTTTATTATATTTACATACGCAATATTTGTTATATATTTTTCTCATATATATATGCTTTTTATATTTCACATTATCTTTCAATACAGTAGACAAAAGTTTTATGGCGCTTAACGTGTTAAATGATATATCATAAGTAATAAAGGTAGGTATACTACCTTCGTTTTGGTTCCAAAGCTTGGGCTTGTAAGTCCAAAGTTGCGAATAATTCATGCACTGTGCAAAAATAGAATGTTTTAGTTTAGTTGCAAATTTTTATTTCACATTCCGACCAGATCTAGACTACAGGAGTAATATATGTATATTATGTGTATGAGTTTATTTATTAATGCAATATAATACAGCATTATTACATAATATATTGATCGTCTACTTCATTATTTAATATCTTAATATATGTATCACACCGGATAATGTTCGAGCACTCAATGCTTTACTTAATACAATCGTTAATAAAATTATCGCAACGAATAAATTTTATCAAAATTTCTTAAACTTTAAATAAATTAACTTAGCAAAAAATTGTCGTATTAAAAATTTTTTTCCGTTCTCAAAAGTAAAATCCGTATTTTAAGGAACGTTTAACAGATTTTGAATTTCCTCCTCTTCCTCTGTCTCTGAAAAAATAAGAACGCATTATGTCTCCAAAAAATTGTGTAATTTGATGCACTCTAATGCGTGAAATTAATTTTTTTGCAAGTACCATGGTTATATTATAAAATAGATTTATCCTGCAAATTATAAAAAAAGTAAGTTCGTTACGATTCTATTTCGCGATATCAAGGTTATCTATGTATCTCTTTCAGTTACCGCCAGCATTAGTATTATCCGTCGCGGAGATTGCTAATCGGATTTTGCGCATCGTAGGTGGGTGCGTGCGTGCATACGTACGTACGTACGTGCGTGCGTGCGTGCGTGCGTGCGTGCGTGCGTGCGTGTGTGCGTGCGTGCGTGCATGCGCGCGCGCGCGCGCGTGTTAAGTAAACGCATATATCTTCGTATGTACCTAAAACTGTATATGAATATATCCGTCTCGTCTTCGGAATACACAATTTTAAATACGAAGACATATCTCTCTTTCTAAACTACACGCACGCACGCATAGTACAACTGACGAAAATGCATAGATAAATTTTGTACGCCGTAATTACGCGAAGAATCATAACAAACTTTCTTTTATTCTAATTTGCAGGAAAAGTCTATATTTTAACAACTTTAAGATGATTACCATATTTGCGAAAAAAAAATTCATTTCATCTCGTAGAGTGCATCAAATTATGCAATTTTTTTGGAGATGTAACACATCTTTATTTTTTAAGAGAATGAAGATAGGGGAAGATAAATTCAAAATCTATTCAAAATCTTTTCAAAATACAGACTTTACCGTTGAAAATGAAAAAAAAATTAAATACAATTTTTCGTGAAATCATGCTTATTTGAAGTATTCGAAATTTTGATAGAATTTATTTAATATCAAACTATTAATAAGAATTTCTCAACTATAGACATGCAAAACACAGTGCGTTACCTAAACATCGATTTTTACCTAATAATAGATATATTTCTTTACTTACCCGCAATAGCAAGATCAACTAATGCCTTGTCCTGCTGTATATGTAATGATGTCAGGAAAAAGAATAGAGCACCGAATACTTCTACAAACATTGTAAGAAACATTGCATATTGTAGACTATGGAACTCTACGCTTATATTTTGACTATCATAAATATCAGATTGTCTTCCTATATCCGACAAGAATGTGGACTTTAATCCTTCCGATATCTAAAAACGATTAATAATTAATATTTTATATAATATTAGTACAGTGAGTTTATCTTTACATACAAGTCCAATAAGATAAGGACTGCCTGCATCCCCAAGAGCGTGTGCAATGAGTATTTGAAATGCCTCTGCTGTGGACCTTCTTGTGGGAATTACTACATACTATAATATAATGAAAGATAATTAAATTTATTAAAATATAATTATAAAAAAATATATATATTTTTAATATATTGTTGCCTACCAATAATATATCTGCTACAATAGCCCAATTCAAATTTAGTGATAACTGACCAAAAAATATTAATATATAACAAAGAGTAGAATTTGTATTGGCAGTAATCATAGCGAAGAATAATAGAGGAGCACTTATTAAAAGGCCTACGGCACATATCAGAGGATCAGCTTGTTGCCAGTAAGTTCGTAATTTTTGTGCTATAGCAGAACCTAAAGGTACACCTATTAGACCAGATGCCATACCAATTAAGCCAAACTGATATGCAACACTAAAACATTATAATACACATAAATACAATTGTATAATTAATATACATTTTTATAATAAAATAAAACATACTATAATATGTAAATATTTAAAAAAAAAAACGTACTCTTCTGGATCAGCATTTGCTTCATAAGGAAGTAATTGGAAACCTAATTGTAAATATATTGGCGCCCACCATGCCAGCGCACCAGTGACAAACGCTACACAAGTAAATCCTGCAGTAGACAGCATAAAACTTGAACTGAAAATTATGTCAATAATGTAAGGAACATAGTATTAACTGCAAATTATTAGAAAAAGTAATGTAGTTGAATTTGATCATTTGTCACTGCATTTTAAAATCAATTTCTATTAATTATCATGTTTTTTAATATCATTATGTACTGTGATAGTGATGCTATTATTCGATCTTTATTTACAATTAAATAACTTGATGGAAAAATAATTGAAGTTTAATCGAATTCATTAAATTATATATCATATAATAAAAGAAACAAAATAGATAACTCTATTATAATATATTTTTAAATACATATTCTATTATTTGTCATAATTTCAGTCTCGTATCCTGACAGATAGTTAAAAACTGCTATAATGTAGAGAGTGTTCTATTTTTGTGTTCTATTTTATTTAAACACAATTAGTAATGATAGATGATATAGATCATTGATATGACAAAGAAATATCAATAAAAGTATTAATAAAAGAATAAATCCCATATAATAATACAACTTCAATGAAAAAAATATAATATTGCTGATATAATTACTTCTTTAATAATTGCTTGACATCATATGACCATGTAGTACTTGTCAAATGAATACCTCCTTCACGTTCACCTCTGATAGGATCTCTTACTACAAAAAGTAACAGAAGAATCGCTACAATTCCTAATACTGGAGTAATACGCAACCCCCATTGCCATTGACCAGTAATACGAGCTGTTTCACCTCCAGTAATATATCCTAAACCACTAAAATAATATATACAGTGAGTGATAAAAAGTATTCGTACAGAGAAAATATTCTTTAAAAAAACTTTATTTTTAAAAAGTAAATATTATTCAGCGAGAAATGAGTCATCGAATTAATGTTGAATCAATATTGATACGATGATTTCAACACCATTTTGATGTCGATTCGACATTTAATTGATATTCGTTTCTTGCTGGGTAATTAACAACTTATTCATAAAGAATAAAATAGACTTATGTTTCTTAAAGTTATATATACCAAAAAGATGTGTATTAATTATAGAATATATATCATCTGAAAAATAAACGAAAATTAAAAATTATACTGTTTGGATGCTCAAAAAGTATTTATACAATCGAGAAATTTAGCTTCTAAAACAAAAAATATATGTGAAGTTCATTTGTTAAGGTAAGAACAGAATGTATTTATTATATAAAATTGCTAATTAATGTTTATTTTCTATAAATAAGACTTTTTTAATAAAAAATTTCGTTGTACGAATACTTTTTGCTCTCACTGTATGTACATATAAGCAACATATTAAGCAACATATATTTTAATCATGCAGATCATAATCAATGTACCTTCCAACTGGAATAGCAAAGTAAAATAGGGCGAGCATCTTAGAACGTACATCTTTTATAAATAAATCACTAATAATTGTTGGCGCAATTGTAGAGTAACTAGCTTCTCCTATGCCAACAAGTGTCCTAAAGAATAGGAACCATCCAAAGGTCTAAAATAAATTAAAAATATTACACATTAAATTTATATTTCATATGATCCTTTCTTGCACATGACAAAATTAGATGTGTTAATGAATCTCTTCATTAGATGCAACCTGATATTATTAGAAAGATGCAATAACACATCTAATTTTAATAAAATTCTTATATTTTTATTATAGGTTTACTTTGAGTAACACCTCTTTCATCAACTATGAGTGATATTAACTCAATCGTCACCATTGTCAACTTGAGAACTAAACACAGTTTGTTTCAGAAAAGAAAAAAAAAGACATTCTGGTACATTAAATTGTTGCGAGTTGATATTAGATTAATTTAAAACACTTTTGCGAGTTGATAGTAGATTAATTTAACCAGAAGTTGATGAAAGAGGTCCTAGAGTTCATTCGATATTAAAAAAAAAAGATGTTATCTGCAATTGAACTAACGTACACTTTTAGAATTTAAAGCAAAATAGGTATATGTATTGATATTTGGCAAAGGCAAGACAGAAATTTCAGCTCGGTACAAGAATAAAAAAAGTAGAGAGAGATTCTAGATACAACTTACTTTCATATAAGAACCAATAAATGTTGTTAGGCACCATAAAAATACACCACCACTCATAATAAATTTTCTATTGTAACGATCTCCTAAATATCCAAATAATGGCGCAAACACCATGTAGCTCAAAATGAATGCTGTTTGCAGTAGCCCAGACTTATCGTTAGTGATACTAAAGTCATGCTTGATGTACGTTAATATTCCTGAAATAAAATATTAAGTATGTTTGTATAAACCAAGAGAAATAATGATGATTTTCTATTCAGGAAATCATTTTATAAATTGTAAAAAATTTCTCAGAAAACTATCAATTCAATAATTGTTCCTAAAACAAAGCAAGCACTCACCAGGAATCGTGAAGCGGTCCATATAATTTATGAGATTTACGAAACAGAGGACCGCGACTGTGATCCAGTCGGCCACGCTGATCGACCTTAGCTCCGAAGGCATCGTTTCTTTCGCGTGTATTTCTCTTGAGTTATCCTGATCCGCATTTACCATACAATATTTATTTTCCGAGTTAATGGGTGTTCGATTATCTACCATGACGAGATAAGTTCCTCAGTGTTGCCGGTGTTAATCGCGTCACGCTGTTAAAGATAATATAATTCATGAGTTTGCAAATTATCGTCGATTTAGACTACTAGTTACCCTATGACAACACATAACCTCAAAATCTATCGACTTACCCCGCCGCTCGATAACAAAAAACTGTTTATGAGCATCTTCGAGCGTCACTGTACGCGCATCACACCACCTCTGATTAAACTCCAAAGTGGGTAAAAGTGGGATTGTGCGAGCAATCAAGAAGTGTGTATGCGCGTGCAGAAGTGTGTGTGCGCATATATACGTTGTACGTACGTGTGTAGGTATGTAGGTATGTATGTACGTATGTACGTATGTACGTAGTACGCGCATAGGCTGATAAACGCTGGCGCTGGCACGCGCTAAATATTCCGTTCTCGCGCGCTAAAGTCCGTATTGTATCCGGCGTACGCCGTGATATAATTGCATTGCACAAGCCTGTTAAGTATAAACGGCATAAATCGGCATAGATCAAACGAAATTAGAAACTAGAATTGATCTCTTCCAGCTGATTTGGCACTTAATGACGTAACATACGCGTAGCATACGGCGATAGCGATTTGACTTTATCCACATAATACGATCCCACGATATTTCGGGATTTCCCTTTGGCACTTTTTGAATGTCGCGATGCTCACTTTAGCGAAATATCGCTCGTTCGTAATATAATCGCTGATCAATCCCGATTCACACAACGCTCCGTCGCCCCCGTCGCGTCGGCCCCGTTGCGTTGACGGCGAGGAAGTGAGTAGCGAGTAGCGAGATCAAGCGAGACTAACGAGGTGGACGAAGGGGAAGGCAGACGAAGGGGAAGATTGGGAAAGATCGTTGCAAATTGGAGCGAGGGATGCGGGGAAGCCGGGGAATCTCTTTCTCTCTCGACCTTTGACAAGGCACAAGGGAGAGATTTGTCGACTCGCTCACTAATCGTGACTGTTTGGCTCAGTCCTGGCTTTTGGGTGCAACACACCTTGACAGATTGTCGAGTTCACGCTGTTTACCTGGACTCCAAACTCATCAGTTCGTAGTTCGCCGGTATTGTTTGCTGAATAAAAAACAACATTCGAAAGACCATGCAAGTAACGCACTAGATTAGATATATCTTAAGTAATGACATTCAGTCCGCACGAGAAAATGTTACTCAAAGTCAGACTACATGTACACCTAATTTAACGTTGGACAAACCGTCGTATACGTAGGCGTCAATTTATAAGTGGTACGGGTTATGCATAAATTACTATACTATCACGTCATCTCGTCCATATATAATTGTCTTATTGAAAGGAGCTTGGGAGAGACAGAAATCTCTCTGTCTAAGAAGCAACTCTCTTAATAATAATATAAAACGCTCATGCATAATAGTACATTTGTTCATTCCCAGAAAGTAGCTCCAAATTTTGACTAAAGCAGAAGTTCAGCTACAAATAACAAGTCTATATTTTTATATACTCACTATATTTTTGTTCTAGAAATCTAAGCAACTAGAGCATTACTTGTAATATCTCAAATGTGATTGTAAAATTTAGCAATTATGAATTTATTCATATTTGTATATTTTATTTCCAAAAGATTAATATCTTCATAAACAATGGATGACTCTCCATTGCAAAAAGTAGAGCTGCAAACAGATGTTTACATGGTATGCTTGCAGCATGCTTTATCTACAGAGAACTTTGAAGTAATGGGCTTACTTATCGGTAATGTACGTGAAACTTAGAACATCTTACATTCTCTGATATCTCTTTGTTATTTCCTATACAATTAATGAGACAATCAAAGCATTAATTATCCCCCTTTTAGTTTGAGTGTGGAGTAGCAAAAATATCAGCTGTTATTATTTTGCGACGTCTAGATAAGAAGAAAGACAGAGTAGAAATATCGTCAGAACAATTACTGAAAGCTGCTGCTGAAGCTGAACGATTAACTGTAGAATTAAATCGACCTATGCGTGTCCTTGGCTGGTATCATTCGCATCCACATATTACAGTTTGTCCATCACATGTTGGTGTGTATTATAAATACTTTGTTTGTCAAAACGTTTAAATAATATAATTTGCATTTAAAATTTTTACATAAAATTATTTTTGTTTTGCAGATGTCAGAACTCAAGCTACTTATCAGACAATGGATCACAGTTTTGTAGGCTTAATATTCTCAGTATTTTCAGAGGGCAAAGAATCAAAAGTATATATGTTTTCCTTATCTTAATTTCTTTATCAATAAATTCACAGTTAATGATGTAGCCTTTATGTGACTAAAAACAAAAAAATCTTTAGTTTTGTCTAGTAATAAATTGATAGTGTCAATAATGAATATAAAACTTTTAATGCATTAACTTATGTGATATTCTATGAAATAATTTAAAGTTGTTTATATATTTGTTTATAAATTATAATATATAGATTAATAAATGTTATAATGTGTTTTTTTTTTACTTTAAAGGAACATGAAATCTTCTTAAATTGTTTTCAATCCGATAATGGTGAAGCTACAGAAATACCATTAGAAATAGTACATACTCCAGATATTTCAGACAGATGTTTAAGAGTAAGAGATTTTAATATATATTTTTTTGTATTATTGTAAAGAAATTTAAAGCGAAGAGAACTCTACGTGAAATTAAATAATGTTGCAGACAATGACAGACTTGTCAAAAATTTTGGTACAAGAAGAAGAAGATATGGCTGAAGCTTGTAAAGATCATCCAGATGTCCTCGCCAGTATTCATAATGATGCTGGTATGTATATATATATATATATTTTTTTTTTTATTTATAAATTAAAAATACAATTTAAATAATAGTATTTAGTGTCTGGAGTAAACATAGATTTAAAAAATCCAAATTCAGATCATTTTTATTTGCAGTCAGGACACGTGCGTTGGTTCATATAACAGATATCATTACAAAGCCTTTGGTACAAACGTTTGAAAAAAGAATAGCGTTAAATAAATTGCGAACTATACATCTCCGAAGACAATTACAAGAATTACAAAAAATGTGTAATGGTTAAAACTTGTACTTTTTCAGAATCAATAATTATAAGTTAACAATTAATTTTTCCTTAAATAATAAATTCTTACGTAATAAAAATAAGATTTTAGATAAAAAATAAATATTTACTGAATGACAAAATTGGCTATATATTATAATATATTTAGTAATTTATATCATTTATTCGATATGCGTTTATATATAGATTTGATGATTGTGATAATGAAAAATAACATGCTTATTTTAATAACATTTAAAAAAAAAAAAATATATATATATATATATATTATAT